CTTCTTGGGTAGGGGTAAATACCCTCTGGCATGTTTTTAAAAAAAGAAAGAAAAAGCAAACCAGAACAAAGTTAAAGGACTTTGTTGTCTCAAGTTATAAGACTAAGTATGTGTTTCCACATGCAGATATTTAAATCCTTTTATTTACTTTTCCTCCTTTTGGCTGAATTTTGTTTAAATAGTATATATATGCCCTTTTTTTGTGTGTTGTTATTTAAGGAGACAGGTCTTGCTTTGTTGCCCAGGCTGGCCTTAAACTCACAATAATTTGCATCAGCCTTTCCAGTACCTGGGACTACTGGAATGCACCGCTGAGCCTGGCTTCTGCCCTTATATTCTCCTCTGTTTTATGAAAGGCATTGCTAAACGTCCCCTTTCACCAGCCCTGACATGTAGTCATCAAGTGTGAATAAAACATCCTCCGAAATTTCTCTGAAATTGTTCTTGTCCTCATTAGAGTTCCCTTTTGCAAGTCCATTTGATAAATCTAGCATGTGAGATTTTAATTGCTCTGCTGCAGTTTTTCTCTTCTGCAGTAAGTGTTAGCATGCCTGCTGAATCAGTGATTGGTTTTGATTTCATATTCTGCCCTATATTGAATGGAGCCCAGATCTCAGTCAGCTTTTTGGAACATCAGTTTTGGCTTATTGACCTCTACCTTCTTGTTGAATAGTTCCAGTGTTAGGATTTAGTTTTCTGGGTTTTGTTTGTTTCTTTGTTTTCAGGCTGCTGGGTCTAGGACTCAAACTGTGCAGTCTGTCATGTGGGATCCAGCCACCTTAACCATCACACCATTGGCTTGCCTTGTTGGAATTTTGATGCATTCCTTTCCAATTTTTTTCATCATATATTATACTTTTCATAAACTTTTAATATACTTCATACATGTGGGGTCATAATATATTAACTATATGGCTATATGTATAAATATATATTATGTATATTATATATACCGAATTTTCTTCTAACAGTATGAACATGTCATTAAGTTGACTTCTAAAACTAATCTTATTTTAATTTGCTAGGGGGCATGTATGCTCACCGGAGAGAGAGAGAGAGAGGAAAAGTGAGAAAAGCACCTCCTTCCCAGGGGGAGGTTTATGCCACAATTTCTTCTTCATTTCACCTTTTAGGATTTTGGGTATGCATGCACGTGGGTCTAGCATACTTTTCAAGCCACTGGGTCCAGGACTCAAACCATGCAGCCATGTGAGATCCAGCTGCCTTATCTACCATGGCACCAGCAGGCCCAAAATAATTTTTAACAATTGCACAATATAAACAAATAAATTTAAGTTAAAAAAAAGAAAGAAAATGAAAAAAAAATGGGGACTTTGCATTCTGTATCCTTTCTCCATCAAGAAAAAAATTTTTGAATGTTATATAACACATATAAAACAAGATGAAAATACATTGAAACTTGTAACAATGGCAAAAAGAAAAACCCAACAATTGCGCAATATTAGGTTGTCGGGAAAGGCATGGAAAACTATGTGAAAATGCATCATAACTTTCCCATGACCTAGTAGCTTGTTCTGTAGATATACAGAATTAATTTACACGTTATCCCATTTCTGGTTGTTTTACATTATCATTACATAGGAGGCCAGCGACATAGCCATTACACTAACTACTGGTCCCGGTTTTAAATATTTTTGAGAAAATATTTACATGTCAATTATTCAGACTTTTGAAAAGCAAACAGCCAGTACACAATAATGAATTGTATTTGCTTTTGAGTTATTGAGAAATTACTGAGTTGAGCAAGGTGATAGGCTAAAAGACTAATAATAATTTCATGTCCAATCAAAGTGCACATTGGAAAGACCAAAATATATATAGTGGCAACTAAGATTAAGTAACTTGTATTAAAAATTAATAGCATATTGGGGCCAGATAGTTGTTTCAGCTCACTATCTGTAGTGATAACTCCATAAAGCAAACAAACATGAGAAGATTCTTGGTTCCTGGTTCAAGTCTGGAGACCTCCCTAGTAATGCCAGCCAGGTGTGTACCCATGATCTGGGACTGGCTGAAGCTGGAGGTCGATTGTGGTCATGCCAGGTGCGTGTGCGTGCGTGCCCAAGATCCCGAGAGAATGAAGGGGAAGGGATTGCAGCATGGCCATCCCCCTGGGGGGGTGATTTCTCATTTTCTGTCTCTCTGT